TCTCCGCCCCCGTCGCCCGGCTGCGCCCTGTTGAGGACGGCGAAGACGCACCACTCGGGGTGGCTGCGGGACTACAGGACCGCCGCGGGGTCGGGGAGTGGGGGCGGAAGCGAGGGTGCGTAGTTGTTCGTGTACTCTGCGCGCGATGGCATGATCAGGCTGAGCAGGTGCTAGATGCGAGGCGATGGCGTGCGGTGTCGGTGTCTGCTTTCTACGGCTACATATAAGAGATTAACTAAATCATCCCGGTTGAAATGCTGATGCGCCCGATTGGCTCATGAGAAACGGGGCTCTCATTCAGCTTAGTTGACGCTAGGTTGCCAGTGAGATGCAGAGGGAGACTGGTAAGTCCATCCAAGAATGTAGTGGTCGTTCACGCAAATTGTCAATTGAAGGCATTGGATGTTTAATCCGTGAGTCCGTGATCACGCTGATTTATTTTGGTAGCTATGTGAGTGCAAATTCTCGCAGCAACTAGCTGACGACGACTTTGCGTCGAAGGACACGGAGGCAAGTACATCAGATATTTTTTTGGGTCCCTTTATTGTCCGCGAGGGCCGAGCTCTATGTAGACAGTAAATAACATGCAGCGCGAGCGTAAGTGTAGGTCTGGATCGTAGCGGGAGCATCGGACTTGACTTGCAGCAATGCCTCCTTGAAGCTGCAGGCCGAACAGAGTCCGAAGCCTTCGGCTCAGATGCAGAGGCAATCACGTGGACTCGGAGCCGCACGAGACTCGGGGCCGCGGTCGGGCGTCTAAGTCGCGATCGAAGGTAAGGATGATTCCGCCCATAAATAAATCTGCGCAAATCTGTGCGCTGCTGGACTCTGGCAGTGGGCAGGCACAACATATGTGGAATATGTCCCCCATTCAACTCTCTTCTTTCTCAAAATTTAGACCGAATTGCCGTGGGAGTTACGCTCCCGAGGCCCCTCTTCACCGACCCCACGGCCCAAGCACATCCTGACGAGGCTCCCTCCCTGGTCATCCCGTCTCTCCTCATTTCGCATCTCATCCACACACGCTCACACTCTGCACTAATATCATGGATCATGCGTGGAACGCCTACGCCCGCCAGCTTTTGCCTCTGGGATTTGGCCATCCGCTCTTCTTCCCCGAGCCCTCGCGTAAGCAGGGCCAAATCGAACTTGGCGACGTCGGATGGATCGTCAGGGGCTCATTCCGCCGCTTGCTCAACGTCACAAAACCTGCAACCGACCCAGTGAACAGGTTCAGGCATCTAGGCCATCCCATACAGACCCTTCCCATCGAGTCTCAACGCGTAGCCTACAATCCTGCGTTCATCCAGAACGATATGCTCTGCAACCAGAGCGTCACCCACCCGATGTGAGCCGTGCCATCTCTACTGTGTTCTCCGTCTTCCGCACTGGGCCATCTCGAGCAGACGCTGGCGCTCCCTGTCCCGGGCCACCAAGCTCAACGACGCCACCCTCGTCCTGCCAGAGCACGCAGCTGCGATGGAGATCGCCGAGCACGGTGCCATGGTCGATCACATCCGCCGGAATTACGACTACTGGCACCACCTCGCGTCGTCCGCCGGGCTCGCGCTAGCCAAGGGCGAGCTGATCTTCGTCAGCGGGTGGGCGAAGGCGTGTGCGTACGACGCCGAGACGCGCGACTGGGCGAGCTGCCCCCCCGCGCGATCCGTGCGCGCGCAGCTGCACTCGCAGGGCCGGCGGAGCCAGAACTTCATGCGCAAGATGCACCCCGACGAGGTGCACTCTGACGAGACCGTCGGGCCCGAGCGCGAGATCGACGTGGTGGGGACGTCGAAGATAGGGCACGGTGAGGACCGCGAGCCGTCTACGGTGGGCGACTCGGCGCAGGACAAGTGCATTTTCGTCCACTATTATAAAGCGAAGAAGCGCGAGCACAATGTTGTTCGTCATTTTTGGGCGAGGTTGTCCGATGCTCTGCGCCTCGGTGGCGGACGTGCGAAGGCCTACTCGTGGATAGCGCGAGAAGGCACTGCTGGGCTGGAACACATGCCTCTGCGTGTCGTATGTAGCGTTCCGCTCGCGCTATGGGGCTG